TTGGAATTAAACTAAGTTTTGTGCGTAGTTTTTCCAATACGTGGTTTTACCCATTTTCTGTTTTTAGTTCAATTTTTTTATCCATTTTCTAAAACACGTTTTCGAAAATAGGTAAGAGAACGCATTTTCACTATTTTGGAACATTGAAAACAGAAAACGGTTTGAAAACGATAAAGAGAACATGACTTTAATTTCTGTGTTATTTTTATTAGGAACCCCATAATTTATTGCACTAGACCTTTTCGAAGAGGAATATAATGAACTAGTTGACATATATTCGTTTGGTATGTGCTTGTTAGAAATGGTTACTTTTGACTACCAATATTGCGAGTGCAAAAACCCAGCTCAAATTTATAAGAAAGTTATCTCTGTTAGTTCGTTCACCTTCACTATGTCCCGCATTCTACCGAATGTATGCAACTGTCTTCTGAATCAATGTAGGATTACAGTGTCAAGCCCTCTTCTCCTAACAAGGTGAACAATCTTGAAGTCAAGGAATTCATCGAGAAATGTTTGGTTCCATCTTCTAAAAGATTATCTGCTAAGGAACTTCTTAAAGATCCGTTTCTTCAATTTGACAGTTAGAAAGAACCTGTTCGCGATTTATTAAAATTGCCTAATGAAGTTCCTGGATCTTCGAGTGTTTTAAATCCTGGGCCACATTCTATGGATATAGATCCTGAATATGACCAGTCGATATGGATAGACTTCAATTGTGAGAGCCCACATTCTCTAGAACTGGAGTTTCAAGGGGTGCATCGGGGTAACGAGTTTAGACTGAAGGGGAAGAAGAATGATAACAACTCAATCTCATTGTCCCTGAGAATTGCAGACAAGGGTGGTAAGTGGCTAGCTCTAATTTATTCTGCTCAGTTTTCACTATATCAAAGTAGCAGTGTTCGATCTTCCTGTTTACAATGGAGGCCGAGTGAGGAATATACAAATCTATTCGACCCTGATTCAGACGCTGCTCTCGCAGTTGCAGCTGAGATGGTTGAGCAATTGGAATTAGCAGATCACGATTTAGTGTTCATTGCCGGCTTCATTGACTACCTCATAATGAGAATTTTACCCAACTGGAGGCCTTCATCTGATTGTCATTCCACTGGAGAAAGAAATGCTATTGGCTTAACCTTGATGGAAAATCAATGGGGGATGTCCTTGGCAGATTCTCTGGCCAACTTCGAGCTTGACCAACACGTGTCTGAGTATCATAAAGAAACTCAAATTTGCGTACCGTATGATGCGAGTAAGTTCTTTGGTAATCCCAGTTTTATGTCCTCTCCTTGTGATGCATTCTTCTAGATTCCATGTTCGGTGAATGCAGAACATGAAGAGTCACAAGGATCAGTGACTTCTGAGGTTATTCTTGAAGATATCTCAAAGAAGAATGTGAACATTCACCGATGGGTTGATTATGGTACAACGGAATTGTTGGGAATTTACTTAATCA